AGTACGATCATGAGACGAGATATTTATGATCTATAACGACATCCTGAGCAAAAGGGGTTGTTTTGCTCCGCTTGGGATTTCCTTTGTGTAGGAGAACGTATATGTCGAGAAACGTGTAGTGGATACTTCGTTAGGGGTGTCTTTGTCGTTGAACGGGAGTGTTTCTTTAAAATGCGACTATTCCAGATCGTGAAAAATGTGCAATATGTTGCCTCGCAGCAATAAATATTTTGTTGCGTTTATCTCTGTACGGTGATTTGTCCTGCGTGAAAAATAAAATATAATTTATCGACAATAAAAAATGGTCTCGTGTTTCGAAAGCTTTGTTGAAGGATCTTTCTGTCCTCATTCGTAACTCACGCAGTAAGGTACGCCCGCGGGTGCGCGGCAAAGCTTAACCGCTTTGCAAGTGAACTCAAAGGCGGGTACTTTGCGCGTGAGAACGTCACAACAATAACTCGCAACACAGTGCGAGTGTAAGAGGGCCTCGCTAATAAATGGGCTAGATGAGGAACGCGCTAACAAAACAACCGAACACGCGCTATTTTTTATATGTTTTTAACTGGGGGGACACAAATTAATGTATTTTATGGGTAATTAAATGCACGAGGCGGGTAAATAACAGACTCGCATATTCCTCTGTGCGCATGTGCACAGTTGCAGGTTGTATTCGACGTTTATAAAATGTGTACGAAGTAAACCAAGCTGCTGGTTCGGCAAAACGATCGGTAATTCTAAGACTACCGAAAAGTTTTCGTTTTGCACGCGTTGTGCTGTCCTATTTGCCTAAATTGAGTGATACTGAAAATCCAGTTCGGTTCAAGATACTAGAAAGTTTGAATAGAGCGTATGCTAAAGATTGCGAGCCTTGCGGGCGGGTGCTCAATCCATGCTCAAAGCGACGGCACGAGCCCCCGCTGGCAACGCCCAGTTCTTGCCTACGAAATTCCATTCTCACGAGGGGAGAGCTGTATTCTGTCGTGTGCCTGCTTTCAGCTCGTGCTGCTATATACCGGTAAACGCAATATGTTTTTGCAGTGCACGCCGATGTCCGAAAACCTCAATCATACATTGACATTTTTTTTTTTTTAATCCACCGCGAGAAAGCTTGCTTTCACACCCGAGCGATTCCAACTCTGCCGGCGTTATTGGATTTGCTGATCGAAGCGTCTTTCCGTGCTTAACAGTTCCAATGAAGGTGCACGAGCGCTATGTTTCCTCACGTTAAAAAACAAAACTGTCTTAATATATATATATATTTATTCTCTAGTCCGCCGTAATATAATAGCCAACAGGTACGGTTTAACATGCCGCCTCGCACAAAAATGGTGGCGGGGGGCGTAAGGGGGGCAAGGAGGATTGCCCTCGACGGAGAGGAGAAAAACGCGGGGAGAGGAGGAACAGCCGCCTCGGTCTGTGCTCGCGCCCAGCGGGGTTGTCGCTCGTGCAAAAAGACTTCCCGCGATGCATGGCGGCAGCGGAATGAAACTTGGCTCTGAGGTCGCTCCATCCGCGCCCGGTGGCGTGGCGGCCGTCTAATGCTGCCGCTCGTCGCGACCCTAGCGGCGGTGGCATAAGTGGGGCCGACAGACATCCCGTTCGGCTCTGCTTCGCCCTGCCTATTGGTCCGCTTCTTGCGCAAGGGTTGGAATGACGTCAGAAAGCCGAGCTCCGATTGGCTCCGACTGAAGGGATAGTGGGTAGACTCCGAGGCAGCTAGAGACATCCAGCTAGCATTGCGAGCTCGGCCTTCTGACGTCAGCGCCACCCGCGCCCAAGAAGCGGACCTCGGATAACGCGTGGCGTCTCGAGAGCTTGGAGCGTGCTCGCGCAGCACGCTGAGGGTGGCGAGCGCCCGCTGGAGGAAAGTGACGCCGTTCTCAGCCTGACAAGAGAGAGCGGAAACCCCCGGGGCTGCGTTTCCTGCGTCGGTGCTTCAACGACCAACCCCCGGGGTCGCTTCTCAGGTGGCTAATGGGGGCAGTTTGGTTTGCACCGTGGGGCTCACTCCTGGACATGGGACACATCGTCTGCGGCCTCAACCTTGAGAAACCGTCTTCAGACACGTTGTTAATTGAGAACGAAGCGCTCGGAATGCGCCGGTGGACCCACCTTTGAAGGGGAAGGCGGCGTGGGAGCCCGCCAGGTGGGCCGACAGGTGCGGCGGGAAGTACATGGGGGGCAGCGGGAAGCGCGGCTGGGCTCCGAGCAGCGAGTCCTGGCCGCAGTGGGCCCCGCCGCCGCCCAACGTCCTGCCAAGCCCAGCACACACACACCTTTCATCACCAACAACCCCTTGGTGCCACCGCACTACGCATCGGAACACAAAAACGCGACCGATACATCGATAATAAGAATAATAACGATATCAGTATTTATGATAGTGTTCAGCAACATAAGTCTTTGTGCTAAAGCAGTTCAGTAAACAAAAAACGAGGCTTCCTCCTCCCACACAAAAAGAAGTCAGGTTCAAAGCAGAAACGCTGTCCACCTGTCTAATCTAAAAACGAATTCCGAGAACAGTTCAAGCTCCGAGAGAAATAGCGAGCACAAAATAGAGACACGAACGAAGGGTTCATATTATAAGCAAGCACAAAATAATTCGATATTGCGCTAAGAGACGGAGGTGCTTTTCAGCCTCCTTCCGGCAGAGGTTAGTTTCTGACGGAGTGATCAAACTTAGTGCAGGCCGCGCTAAGAATATAGCGTGTCAGAGTAAAGATGATACGACTCAGCCGGTCTATGAATTGCCTTTAATGGCCACTAATGTCGAGCTAGATAAAAGGACAACTGAAGCCGTGGAGGCACACTTCTGGCAGCATGGTGACAGAGGCAATCGAGTAAGGCTGCAGGGCAGCGAGTTCGTGTTTATTTTATCCTTCCCACGACTTCAGTTTCTCCTCTAGATCTAGCGGAAAAATTGACGACACTTGACCTCCACACCAATTCACTTTCCCCGCTAAATTTAGCTGGAAAAATGACGTCACGTGATTGTGTGTCACGTGACTTACACATAAAATCAGTTTCCCTGCTAGATTTAGCGGGCAAATCCACGTCACGTGATTTCAACACTAATTCATTTTCCCCGCTAAATTTGGCGGGGAAAATGATGTCACGACTTCATGTCACGTGACCTCTACACAACTTCAGTTTCCCCTCTAAATTTAGCGGAGTGGAGGCACAGCCCGAGAAGCCCATACAAAAATGTCCTATGGTCGGCTATAGAAAATTCTTTGTATGGTCGGCTTTAGCTATTTGGCCCAATTAGCTAAAGAATTTTCTATGGCTGTCTTTAGCATTTCTTATGGTCGCCTTTATGGGCTCTTTAGCTTTGTCTATGGCCCTGTCGCTGTCCAGCCATAGCGCTCTTTAGCCTTTCTAATGGTTGGCTAAAGACTCCTCTATGGCTTATCCTATGGCACTCTTTAGCCAGCAAACTCTAAAAAAATTTACTTCAAGTTCCCCAAACTTGTGAACGCTACATGGTAGATATACATACATCTCTGAACACACAGAGTACACACAACACAAGCAGAACACTACGCCACAGAACAGCAACAACGCAGCAACACCGGACTGCCATTTATACATTTAGTACGAACGTATGCTATGTTCGCACTAGCTGTATATATAGCAGTCTAATTTTTGAATCCGACTTTCCCGGTGACCCATCATTTGTCTCAAAAACACGGAGAGGCGGAGCAAATATTACTCGTACTTAATACATTATTTGAATTGTCTCTTGGAATAGCCCCGATCTCTTAATTCGACACCCTGAAAAAAAGCAAATGTAGATCATTAGGCTAATTAACTAAAATTTATTGATTATCTTTTTAATAAGTTTGATGAATCACGTTGACAATGCAGTGATGACATGCAGTACACTGGTGCTGAAGATTGCAATCAAGCTATTGCTTGGTTGCAGTGTTCGGCGCCATTGTAATTTATTTTCACTTTTGGGGGGTAATAAATAATTTTAATTGTGGCACAAATATTTTAATCGCTTCTTCAAACAAACGATATTACTAATTTTCACGACTCGTTGCAACAGCAGAGAACATATCTTGGGTCATGGTTTGTCACCTCCATTACAAAAATTTAGTATTGATTTAATTTTCTAACGTGGAGTGTTTTTACTAAAAAGTAAGCGCCGGTAGTGATTTTCTATAGGCGTGGAAAGAAAATGTATTGGTTCTTGGCCTTTAGACTCGGGGCCATAAATTTTTCTATAGACGAGTAAAGACAAATAATTGGTTTCCAGTATTTAAACTCGGGGCCAAAGGATTTTTTATAGGCGGGTAAAAAACATTTCTTGGTTCGCCGTCTTTAGAAATGGGGCCATATAATATTCTATAGGCGTCTAAAGCAATTTTATTGGTTCCCAGTCTTTAGACTCTGGGCCATAAAATTTTCTATAGAGGGTTAAAGACACTTTATTGGTTCCCAGTCTTTAGACTTGTGTCCATAGAATTATCTATAAGCGGGTAAAGAAAATGTATTGGTTCCCAGTCTTTAGACACAGGGCCATAGATTTTTCTATAGCTGGCTGTAGCTGTCTTTATGGATTTCTATGGCCGACCATAGAGGGCCATAAGGGGTGATAAACAGCCATATAAATTTCCATAGACAACCATAGACCATTTTTGTATGGGAGAAAGGCCTAGAGGTTACAAGCACTAAACCAAGAATGTTTCACGTAGCAACCCAATTGCAGGGGCGATCCATATGTTTTCACTGTTATACGAGAAGCCCTCAGCTCCGCAGAGACGAGTGAACCAACCAGTTGAGGTGACTGAAAAATCTCAGAGCCGGTTCAAGTACAACCCCCCCCCCTAGTGACGCCAGGGGCTCGCAAGACCCGAAGCGGGAGAGCGTTCTAAGAAGGGAACAAAGCGAAGCTGGCCGGGATGAGGAGGCCGCCCAGCAGGCTCTGTCCCTTATGTGTCTCCCTCTTCTTTCGAAATGTTTCCAAGCACCAACAGTAGAGGAGGGAGAGAGGCTCACGCGTCTGCGAAGGCCGAGAAGAGCTGGTGCTGGTGCATGCCTCGCAGCGGCAGGGAGGCGGCCGCGGCGGCCGCGAACGACGACAGGGCGTCCCGGAAGAAGGGGTGGTCCGCCGGCGAGGCGCCCATCCTGGAGGCGCCCAGGGGCAGCGGAGGCCCCAGCAGCGGCGGCAGGGCTCGGGGGCCCAGCAGGGGGCCCTCGTGGGGCGCCGACAGCGGGCCGTCGCGCCTCGACGGGTCCGCCCGGGAGGTCTCGAGGCGGCCGTCCAGGCCGGAGGACGTCGGGCCCGTCGTCGACGACGCAGCCTGGGTCTCGGACTGCGCCGACGCCCGGGAGCCCTCGTCGTCGTCGTCGTCGTCGGTCAGCGTCGCGCTGCGGGGCGCCACAGAGAAGCTGTCTCTCGGGGGCTTTTCCCTCTCAAACGTCATCGATAGCGGCCCTGCCTCAGCAGCGTCGCCAGCAACGCGCCTTGCAGCGTCTCACCACAACGCTAGCAAGCGGCAAGATGTCCGGCGCTTTCTGTCGTCCAGCTTTGGGGCGGGAATCCACTAAGGATGACGTCGTGCGCTTGCCTCGTGGGCGGCCAGTAGTGTCGACGTCCCGACGCGAACCCTTCCGAATCTTTGCCGGACATGCAAACTGCGGACGTCCTTCCAGCCAACGGGGTCGCGCCCAAATGGCCACCGCTTGGAATCAGAAATTCGCGTACGAGCAATGGGCGCGTGAAACGTCACGCTCGGTGTTCCCGGGCGCACGGCGTTTTCTAGCCGAACGGACCTCCTCATTGGCTGCGTGCGCTTCGTAGATCCCAGTGATTGGCCTGCCAAGTAGAGGGCGGGCTTTTTTTTTTTTTTCTTTTAGAGCCCGTGAAATAAAAGCAGTTTGGATTCATCGATCAATTTCTTTTAAAACACATTGCCACGGGCAACGAATTCTGGTTCTCGTTGCAGCTGCGCTCCTGGAGCAGGTCACTGCCGTCGACGGCCGCCAAGTGGTAAGCAACAAAGCCCCCGCCCCCCCCCCCCCCCCCCCTTTTCTCCGGTTAAAAAAACAAAAAAAAAAACGCCTTTAGCTTGCATTGAGGCAAGGAAACGGCGCCTCGCTTCCAGTGAGGGCAGCGAGAGTCCTGGCCGCTGCAGACGGCGGAGCCCGTCGGCGTACCTCGAGAGGGTCCCCTGCTTGCCGCCTTCTCCCGAGGACGCCCTCGGACTCCTGGAGGACCCGTCGGCACCGGCATCTCCCCCGCCGTCGGCCGAGGACGTGGCTCCGGCAGCGCCGTCGCTGGAGCGGTCCTTCTCTTCGCGTTCTTTCCGCAGTCGCTCCGCCTTGCGCCACTTGGCCCGCCGGTTTTGGAACCACACCTGGGGCGACAACGACGCCAGCTCTTCACAGGGACCGAGAGCCGGCGCCTGGCCTACGGCCGCGCTCCCGAGGCTCCCCGAACCCCGGACCAGGGGGGCTATGTTGCGCTTTTTGCACTCCCAGGAGACTTGGAAGAGGGAAGTGACGTCAACAACGCAGCAAATGCAGATTGGATGTTGATTTTGTTTTTTTCTGTCAACATCCAATCTGCATTTGCTCTAGTCGTTGACGTCACTTCCGTCTTCCAAGTCTCCTGGGAGTGCAAAAAGCGCAACATAGCCCCCCTGGTTTCCGAGGGTCAACAATGGGCCTGCCCCACTTCCTTCAAAGAGAAGCCCAAGAGGTCCTTGAACTCGAACAAATAGAAAAAGTTGGAACGTAATCACCTTAAAAACTATCTGTCTTAAGTTTTTTTGTTTTTCTTTCCATCTTATTTGGAGGAGGGTCTTAACAGCCTATTTGAATCTCGACGTAGACCCGCCAAAAATAAGAAAGCGCTAGAGCGGGGGAAAAAAAAAAAAAAGACTAGCAAAAGTGACGTCATTTGCGGGGGCAGTTGAGCCGTGCTCGCCTCGAAGCTGGCTCAGGAATGACGTCACGACGCTCTGGACAGATAACCGGCGGCAGCGAGGATGCCACGCGGCAATCTCTGCGCGTGCTTTTCAAAATAAACGCGGTTTACATTTATTTCTGCCCAAGATAAGTGCGATAACTGATTTCACGGGACCAAAAACTACGGGGATAATCTCGTAACTCAGATTTCTTGAAAGGTGCTTCCCTTTCGTCAGGGTGCAGCCGATTCACCGCCCATCAAGGTGCACCTTAAACATCAGCTAACGGCGTTCGTAACGGGGGAAGACGAGCAGCTAACGGCGTTCGTAGCCGGGGGAAGACGAAATGACCTCTTCGGCCCAAAGCTCGCAATAGAAAAAAAAAAAAAAATATCTTGTCGCTGTTTTTGTTTTCCCGTGCGATTGCGTTTGTTTTTTTTTTTTTGTTTCTTTTTATCCTTTTTTGTAGAAATGCAGGAAGTTCGTTGGAGCTCTGCGAAATGAAACGCTGTACTGCTCGAATGACATGGCGAAATCAGCTACGATTCTTGGGTTCACACCTGTCGTGCGAAAAATGAGCGGCGAAGAAACGTTAGTGGCGCGCTTTAGCCGCGGGAATCACTGGCGCTCCGATAGAAACCCGAAGCCTAGGAACGCGACCAAATTAAATGTTTCTTTTAAGCCGCATAATTCTGCGCGTGCCTTCTATTTTATTAAAGTACGCTGGTTCCGTGGATTTGCGCAATTCCCAGCAATTATTGAACTAAAACTAAGCCTTTAAATGTGCTTACTAAAAGGTTACTTAGGTGAAAATATTTATTACCTTAATTACCGAGAAGCGTTCATGAATTGTTTGAACAGGCCCTTCGTTAGAAATCTACGAGAGATGCACTCGTTTTCTGTGCGACACGCAGTTTTCGCAGGACGGCGTTCAGTGAAATACTCTGCATATCTTCAGACTGTGAGAACAAGTGCCCGATCCGCCTAATATTTCGGGTCCTTTTTCTGGACAAATGTCGGTTGGCCCTCAAAAAAGAGCGAAACAATCGAGGCTAACCACCCGGCCTCCGCCTGGGAAACGGATGGCCAAGTATGCGACCGAGTCGCAGCGAAGGAAGTCAACGTCGCGAATTAAATGGGAAACTGCTTGGCGACGGCAACGCCCGTCCACTCGCTTACTGAGGATTAAAAAAACAAAAAAAAAAAAAAAAAACCTTCGGTCAAAATTCTTAGCTTTAGCCGGGGTTGCGCACATGAAAGAGTCCGACATCCATAGTAGTCGAAGCCAAGAGCTGGGCGTGTGCACGTTTCACCTCACAAAGCACCCTCGAGAAACGAAGGAAATTTTGGGCCGACAGAAAAAAAAAAAGAAAAACTTTCAAAACCTGAAGGAAAAACAAAACGTGCGTGGGGATAGCATTTATAAATGTAAAAAAAGGGAATATCGAACGATTAATTCTGCAATGTGATGTTGTTTCGCAAAAGTGTGTCTAACTTTCTGATAAACACGATTATTTTTGTGCGGCGCCTGCCGTCTAACACCGCATCTATAGATTATAGTTGCGCGAACAACGAGACAACCAGCGAGTCCAACCAAATCTGCTTTCCCCAAATCTAAAAAGAGTATGGAAGCCCATCGCATAATCATCCGATTGAGCGCCTCAGCGATTCGCACTATACCTGAGATAAGTAGAAAACGCCGGAAAAAAGAAACACCGGAAACCCGCCACTAGGCCATTAATGCGTCTCTCTCTCTACGAATTTCCTCACATTTGTGGGTAAAAAGCTATCGGGGGCTTCCTCGGCCGTACGACGCCTGGTAGTAACTCGACGCGTCAGGTAAGGAACAAAGAGGCTCCCGGTCGACTCCGACGCGCTCTTTGTGCGGTTTTCGTCGCGGGGGCTCCGGCGGGGCTCAGCCCGCGTGTGATTTACAGCGGCGTCGGGCGCGGGCTAAGTGAGACAAACGACGGGGCTTTCCCCGCCTCCGGGCGCCGCGCTGGGCGCCCGCCATTGAGCGGCCGACTCAATTAGCCGCACCGACGCCGCGGCCCAGTCTATTACCCGGAGAGGGAGAGCGACGGGCCCCGGAGAGTTCCGGCGAAGCCGCCCTGTAACAACCGGGACGTCCTCCTCCCGATCACCTGGCTTGGACGGGCGCTAGACGTTGTTCGGCGCTTCTTCGCTGAAGCCCGAGCTGTTCACTGGGCGCGGCAACTCCGAGAGGTTCCGGCGGCTGACCTTCGACCTGTTTACTGGTCTCGAGATTCGAGTGGCTCGTGCGCTTAGGACGCCAACCGCGCCTTCCCTCCAGCGTCGCGCATGTTTCCTTTGCCCTGGTCGTCGGAGGACGCGGCCCACAAAAAACGACGGGCAAACGAGAGCTACGTACCGACCGTAGCATTCGGGGGCCAAGAGGAAGATTCCGCGCATAAAAGTGAACCCTGTTTCACGGGCCGTACAAATGGACTGCGCTTCGCGGGAGGATGAGCGTGCCACGTTCCTCATTCTTGTTACTGGAAAGAGACGGTAAACTTTCGGAACGTTTTCCTGGCTCCGGATGTTGGGGGCGCCAAGTGAACGACTCGCGAGCGACGTCCAGTCTAGCCCGAAGAATGCGAGCAGAATCCGCCGGGGCACGGCTAATGTCCTTTTTTCGCATTGAACGGCTTCGAATGCTTCGCTCAGATAACTGCATGGAGTTACAAAACTTGGACTTCGCGTGCCAACCATCAGCTTTACCTTCTGGCGGTAGCTCGGCTTTCCGCTCTGTGTAGTCCGCTCGTGCGATGCGAGGTACGACGCGGTTCGCTTTTCTCGCTCGCTTTCTGCACACCGCGGGGATTTCTTCTTCGATACGCCGCAACAGGCCTGACTACCTTCGAAGACGCCTCATATGAAAGCGTGTTGTAACGGCATATCCTTTATTACATCTTAAAACGCGAAATTTGTCGGGGGCAGTAAATAGTGCCCGTCATTGAGAGTTTGCGAAGGAGCTCTGGGGGACCGGGCTCTGTTGTCGAGCTTTACTTTCGTCGAAAAAGATGCGGTAAGCTCCCGCCAGAGTTGAGCGAGTCGTTGAGAGCGCTCAGAACGAATCCCGCTTCTCGACTTTCTAGAAAGGACTCTTTCGATCGCGCCCAATGCACGTTCCTCGAGCGTTGTGGGACCTGATCGGCAGTTGCGGACCCAGCTACGGCGGCCAGTGAATAGCGCCGATAAGCTCTCGTATCCTCCTCAATGCAGCATTTACTTATTAGAATTGAAAACTAAGAATATCTGATTCTCTATATTCCGTTTCATTAAAACCGTGCAGTACAGCCAAAGATTAAGGGGAGAGATCGTATCCGCACCTGTTAAAGAGGAGGAAAAGGAGGAACAAAAGAGAAAGGTAGGGAGCCTATCTCTCCTCCTTTCCCTCCCCTTGAAAAGGCTGGGACACGCTCTTTCCCCTGTGGGTTTGACTGTACTGCGCGGTTTTAGCGAGGCGGAGTGGAAGTTACATATTTACAATTGCATCTTGACTAGAAATTACTGACAAAAAAAAATCAAATCAAATGCCACGCTAGAACTTTCTCTATTCTTTCTTTTCTCGATTGACCGGGAGATGGGCAGAGACTAAAGGCGTGATGCCTGACGAGGTCTCTGTCCCCTTTACAGTTCTAACGCAGCAGTGCGGGGTACATAGATTTTTAAACACGAAAAATGGAGAAAAGAAGCTATAAATTCCTATACAACTCAGAAACAAAAAATAGATCACTAGCACTGGCCTTGGATAGAACGAATATACGAATACAATGTAGTAGATTTTAAGCAGTTTCGCGATACTATACTTCGTTCACACTTAAGCTGAGACTACAGCCAAAGCTACAAGCCCGAGCAACCCGCGCTGCTGGCTTTGAGACGGCCTTTGCGCGAGCGCTGGTTCCGCAGAAGAGCGTTTCGAAGCTGCGACCTCGTGCTCTCGCGATTGTAGCATTGGCTGCAATACGGGCATTTCGAGACGCTGATGAAGTGAGAGTCGCTTCCCTGCAGAGAACCGACTTTACTGCAGAAAGGTTTTGAGCGTAGCAAAATGGTGACTTACTTGCACTCTGGCTTCGGTCAGGTTGATCTTCATGGCCAGGTCTTCGCGCGTGAACACGTCCGGGTAGTGCGTCTGAGCGAAGGCTTTCTCGAGCTCCTCCAGCTGCGAGACGGACGCGCGTCAGGGCAAACTCCCACGTCGACTGAGGTCGGGCTTGCTCGGCACTGCCTACGAAGAAAGCATCTCCGGCCGCCGCCTAAGGCGCACTACAGATGTCTTTGAGTGCTCCGAAATGCAGTCGCGTTAACAAATTACTGGCTTTAATTTGATCAGCTGAACCAATGGGAAGGCCGATACCGTGCTCCAAGGAAGTCTCGGACATAGAAAGGGTGGGCGCCCTTTGCAGCCACCGGGATAGCGTGAGCACTTGTGTCGCGACAGCGCTCGGAGGCAGCCATTGGCTAAACCATCTGGAGGAAGGTCGATTGGCGGTGTTCCGAGCACAGGGCCATCAGCATGGTCGAACCAGGGGCGAACTTAAAGGAGCTGTGCAACAATTTCGGGGCTTTGCTTAAATAATTGTGGAAGTTGATGCCTGACACTTCTGCAGTGAACTACAGAAAACAGATTTTGCCTGGATACCCTAGTTTTTATTTAAGAAAATGAAAAAGATTCCGGTTTTTGCCGCCTCTCAACTCGTGCATCGTCTTCCGGGTCACGTGCACAGTGACGTCACTTGAATAGGCGCGGCGTTCCGGAAAAGTTCTCTCTTTAGAGCCATCAGCGAGCAGCGAGAACTCATCCGCTCGCGACCGCGTGACCACCCGTCCTTGCCCGTCCGGCGCTGTCCCCCTCCCCCTCCGGCTTCTGGCGGCTGTTCGCGGTTTTGTGGACCTAGGATAGATGGCGCCACTAAAACTCCGTATAATAAAAGTTTTGTCGATGATACCAGGGTTTTGACGCATTTATATATATGTTGGAACGACAAGATTTATAAAAAAGTTACCTTTTATCGAGCAGGTATTCGCACAACTTGCTATCTTTCTTACAACTACCCAAGTGACGTCACGCCGCTTGTCTCTCATGGCCGCCGCTCGTGGCTGCAGGTCGGGAAATATTCCAAGATTTGCCTCGCTATTACGCCGCAGAATTGCAACCTTTCGAAGAAAGGAGGTGTGTTTTCTGCCATTTGTGACACAGTGAACAATATCAAAAGCAGAAAATGCCAATTCTTTCAACGTTAAAATCGTTGCACAGCTCCTTTAAGAAAAGGGGGTAAGGGAGCGATCCCACCCCCGTCCCCCATTTCCTCTTAAGCGTTCTAAGGCGAAGTTATTTTTATATAAAAAAAATGAAAGTCGCTTACAACCCCCTGTAATGCCGAATTAGAGCGCAGCTCTTGAGGAGGAGGAGGGAAGGGTACTGAGGGGTGGGTATATCCCTCCTCCTCACTTCCTCATCCTGCCTGCTACTCCTCTCTCCGAGCGGCGTCGGCGTCGCCGTCGGCGTAACCGTGAGCTCACGTGACCCTCGTGACGTCACGTGACCTCACGGGGTCACGTGACTTCACGGGGTTCGCGTGATCTCACGGGGGTCACGTGACCTTATGGGAGTCACGTGACCCCACGGGGGTCACGTGCTCTCACGTGGGTCACGTGACCTCACGTGACCCCGTGAGGTCACGGGAACTCACGTGACCCGTGAGGTCACGTGACCTCACGGGTCGCGTGACTTCACGGGGGTCACGTGACGTCACCGGGGTCAGGTGACCTCACGGGGGTTACGCGACCTCACGGAGGTCACGTGACCGTATGACGTCACTGATGACGTCATCGTGATGATGGCGATGGTGATGACGTCATGTGACCTGTTGACGTCACTAATGACGTCATCACGTGATCATTAGTGACGTCATTAGGGACGTCACCTGATGACGCCACTGGTGACGTCATCAGTGACGTCACGCGTCCCGTAATGCACCGCGCGGTTACGCCGACGCCGACGGCGACGGCGACGCTGTTCAAGCCGGAAACGGTCGCCTAAGAGCTGCGTTCTAAAAACGACATACACCAGCTTTGATTTTTAGGAAGAAATTTTTTCTTTTTGGCGAAATGGCCCTTTTTAGGTCACAAACATAGATGCGGGCAACCCTTCGCGCGTGACGTGACATCCTCGGTTTGTCCCTGAGCCTGCCCGATCCACCCGTCCCCATGCCGAACGGACACAAAAGCCGCAGAAGGAGGGCGCCGAGCGTGCAGAACCGATGCAGAGCAACACGCACCTGCTGGACGGTGAAGGTCGTCCGGTTCCTTCGCTGCTTCCTCCGCACGAAAGCTTCTTCGTGCAGTTCCGACTGGTATCCATAGCTCCCATCTGCAAAACCACAACGACCAGCCAATTCAGCCAAGGGGGAACATCGCTAAAGCCACCCAAAGTTACGCTGTTCCACGTGTGTTTCCCGGCTTTTGCAACCGCACGATCTAAAGGTCAGTTCACACACTTGCGTGAGCAGACCGACCGTGTGCGAGGGTTACTATGGCTGCGTCGGCACCAACAAAACCGGTTTTTACCCCGTTTTGTAGGAGCCGACGCGGCTGTTGCCATGGCAACCCGTTAAAGGATTAACGTCGCAATCCGTTGCACGTCGCAGTCGGTCGGACTTAAGGCAAATGTGTGAATCGCCCTTCTCAACTGCGTTTACCTGACCCAGCGCGATCGAGTTAGCGTGTCGGCAGGTTCAAGGCTCCTCGGCGCATTTGCGTCGACCGCGTTGCGCTGTCCTGCAGCCCAGCCCTGTTGGCTCGTCCTACGTGTCGCCAGAGCAACAGCTCGAACGCAGCTCTGTGAACGAGCCTTAAATCGAGCGCATCCCTTGGCCTTGCACGGAAAGAGATTGCTCTTTCGAGAAAATTGAGTGGACGCGGCGTGCTGCATCCGTCCTTCGATTTTATGTCGTGCGTTGGAACACACGCTATCCCTTCCGATTGTACGGCATTTTGCTGGATTTTTCACTCGCGCATCGCGCCGATCGTGTTTCATAAACTACCTTAGATTTTGCTGAGAGGCGTAAGGCCGTACTCTCTTCGGGCGGCGGTGAAAAGCTCACCGGAGAAAAGCTCTTCTGCCCTTGAGCGGATGCTAAGGAAAGCTGACTGATTTTTTGTTTATTTTTTCTAAACTTACCGAATTGTGCGTCACATGTGGAAATTTAACGCAATTAGAATTCGTCGCTTTGTTAAAACAAATTAGGTTGTGTATGTTTATACAGCCTAGAACTTGGTCTGCCTCAACGGGCGACGAGTCTCCCAGCTGCAGATGAGAAATTTAGCCAGTGCAGTACAACCGTTGGCCTGGGGTCTTTAACGTGCACCACGCTGTAGTGGTACACAACCGCACGCTGGTACGATGCTCATCCAAATCGAAACGGGCAGGGGCGGGTGCTCCGAGCTGGCGTGCGCGAGCCAACTCGTCTACCGATCTCTTTTTTTTAAATTATTATTACATGAAAGTCAAGTTCAAAAATTCAGGTTACGTGGTTACAAGGTGAAATGATGATTATGTACACAGTAATGGATATGAGGTGAAAAGTTCAGAGGAATGTCCACATAAGCCGCACTTATTATTTCACTCCCAGCATATCTTAAAGGGGCGATGCAACAATATTTGTACTTTGCGCAAATACCGCTTAAAACAGATCCCTGATGTTAATGACCTATGAAACACCCGTTCGTATTTCACCGCAAGCAATAGAAGTTCCGGAAAAAAATTAAAGAAAAACGAGCACGGTTCACCCCCTTAACTCGCAGCCAGAACAAGCGGCCACTTGTTTTGGAGTCGATTATATGCCGCCAGTGTTGATAACAGCCACGCGCCGGGGTTGGCAAAGCACAGGACACGCGCTGAGTTCCCGACATTGTTATGGCTCGGCTATTGTCGTCGTTGCAGCGATTGGACACGGACCACTACCCGAATGCTTCTCGAGCTAGCAATTATCACGAGCCCAAATCGAGTGCCTTCGCAGTGCTCGGGTCCAATCTATGAACAGCATTCAAATATCGTAATATGGGGTGTACTGCGATCCCCACGTTACGTCATCAAATTTAGCAAAGGAGAGATTGAATGAAAATGATCGATTTTGTCCTTGAAATTACTCCGCAACAAAGAACTTTATTGGACAGTGGCGTTGCGTGTGAGTATCTTTGAGTCCCAGGTGTGCCAGTAAGCTCGTGTAAAGTGAAAAACATTCCAATTGAATACCGTTGCACCGCTCCTTTAAGCACAAACAAACACAACCGGCGAGACATTTGCTGGCGCCGCCCTATTGTTCCCTCTCGTGACGTCATTGTCTTGCGAACAACAAGTTCGATAGAGTTTGTAATTAGCATGGTGGAAGCTTGGAATCATTGCGCTCTCAATGCGACACTGCCAACACCATCGAAATTCAAGTTCTTACATTACTCTTATTTCCGTCTGTGGGAAATCCTATGCTGACGTCATAGTCAGCATTCTACCAATCGTGGAAGGCCGATCACAGCGACGCTTTCGATGGCGCCCGTCGCCAATAATCTCGATCATTTTAGATATTAAAAATCTGGAAGTTTTACAGGCACGCATCAAAAAGGTAACACCATTCAGGTACTGGTGGGTGAGCTTCGTAAACACTTCTTACTTTCGAAATTTCTTCTAGAAAAATGAATTTTGTGGTGCGTGGTGTGTCGGCGTTTCTGTCAATCATCCGGCATCTCCAGAGGCTGCGGAGGCCTCTCAGCATAAATAAATCACAGGGAATGCTTGTATCGCTAGGTATGGGCAAAAGCGAATATTATGATCGGCAAAGTCTATGTCATTTTAAGAGTTTGTTGGAGGACATCGCAGAAGAAAACGGCATCTGTATACTCGATGAAGCGGTGTTCCTTTGTTTCCGGTCGGTAGCAAAATTGACAGACAATTGACGGTACAAAAAAGAAAACGTTCTTGAAGCCACGATCTTACTGGAAGTGTTGATGTGTGTAACTTAAAGAAAAGTGTTTTAGCATTTGGAGATATGCACATTCGCTTTACGCGTTTTAGAACATCTTGTCTTTCACAGTATACCTACAGATGCTTTAAACACGCGCCAGATTGAGCCGCCATAGCCGACCTCCTCCTGTTTTACCGAAATGCCGAGCCACTGAAGCGGACGTTTATGAGGCTCCACAGAGGCCTGTACTGGGGAGAAGGGCACAGTAGCACCTAAAATGGCGATAACTTGTCCTACTGTGGAAATGATGAAGTGAAGCGAACGGAATTAGAGGAAACAAAAACTGAAGGTCGGTTATGGTAGCGCCCACGCACAGCTGCCTGAAAGCGTCTATACCGTGTCCTATATAGTGGAATAGGAAAGAAACTTTCAATCAAGACCTGTGATAGTCGTTTTCTTGGTACCTCAAATAGATATTCTAATGAGAAGCGGACTTTTAGAAACATAAAGGTATCGACTACTTCTTTCCAAAAGCCCCAGAGTTTGCCTTGGGTAGAATTCCTTGTTGATACGACCGAAAAGGGAAAGAATGTGCTAACTTTCTTTGAACGATGGTAAGCAGAAAAGGATGAGATAAATTCCTAAAAGCAAAAACAAAAATAGTCGCGAGACGAGTTGGCGAACGAACAAATGTGCAAGACCTAAGCTGCCAGCTTCCAACGGAAGGAATAAGTTATCGCGTTTCATTCGTTCCCAAGATGAACTCCAAATAAAGGTCGCAAAGGTTCTGTGGAAGGCTTGTACCTTTAAACGACCACAATGTAATACTTGTAAGGCATACATTAGTTTTGATATTAAAAAGATGTTGTACACTGCTGCTTTTGCGAAGATGGAAAGGTCTCGTGCCCTCCATGCTAATGCGTTTTGCTTAATCTCAGTTACAACGGAATTCCAATATAGATAATTGTATCTTGTTTGATCCAGAGGAACGCCAAGATATTTGAAGGGACAGCGATTCCTCGATAGCCCAGCGAATTGTCCTGGCGTGGTTGCCCACGCGCCTATCCACAAACCATGAGATTTTTCAGTGTTCAACATTGCTCCCGTTAGGTCGCAATAGTTCTCTGTTATATGAAGGCCTTTTGCCACACTCTTCTCATTCGAACAGAACAGCGCCACGTCATCAGCATAAGCCAGTAACTTTACCTCTATGAAGCAAAAAGTATAACCTCGGATATTTTCATTGGTAATAATGTTAAGGCAGAGACGTTCAGGGTATAAAGCAAAAAGAAGTGGTGATAGTGGGCAACCTTGCCTTGCTGAAGATTTGATAAGAATAGATTCAGAAAGGGAGTTGTTTACAATTAGCCTTGTGGTGTTGTTTTTGTAACAGGCTCAATACTTTCGAATAGTATGGTTCCTACTTTCGGATGCGGAAGTATTTTGAATAAGAAAGAATGGCTTACTCTATCGAATGCTTTGGACAAATCAAGTTGAACTATAGCCACTTGACCTTGCTCATCAAATACAGAGTTTATCAACGATCTTGGTACGTCTATGTTCGTTTGAATGTTCCGTTCTCGTATACCACAAGTTTCGTGTTCTCCGATCAGATTATGTATTACGATGTGTAAGCGTCCGTTTAAAACTTTTGCGAATATTTTATAGTTCGCATTACAAATTTCTATAGGTCGATAAGCTTCAACCTTTTTGAAAGTTATTATGTCTTCTGTCTGAGAAATTAGTACAGTATGACCATAATAAAACGTTGGCGGTAGTGTTTGGTGTTCGTGAGCGGCTTTTAGGACCTCAAGCAGTAATGGACTCAACAAATCAGAAAATGTCCAGTAAAATTCCGCACTTAGGCCACCAGGTCCAAGTGTCTTATTTGAAGCAAGTGCTTTTATGACATTTTGAATTTCCTGCAAGGTCAGAGGACCCTTGACTATTTATTTTTCCTCGTCTTTTAAGGAAGGAAAGGGGTTTACAAGTTGTTCTATACCTGAATTTTCTTCAGATAAAATGCCTTGTCCCAAAAGATTAGTGTAATAATCCACAAAGGCCTCTGAAATATTTGGCGTATTCACTCTCGTACTACCATTATGTTCGATTTCAACTCTTTCCTTCGTTAAAGCACACCTTCGCTCATCCTCCAGGGGTCTCCGCCCGGGTGTCTCTCCAAGTAGAAATTATTGTGAGGGAGATCGAATCTCTGCGCCTCGATATTTCTTGTTATTTTATCGGTAGAGTTGTGTTTTAGTCATGTTTATTTCTTCTGAGTATTCACCAGGATTGTTACTCTCAAGTTAGTAAAGTGTTGATAGGTTATTTAATAGATTCGTCAGTTCTCGCATTTTTCGAATGTGATAGTGCTCACGCGTTCGATTGCCCAAGTTTTAACTTCTTGTTTGAA